TTGCTGTGTTGCACTGTGTCCGTCTCGCTTGCAAGTCAGAAGTGCTTTGCATGGCAAGTTGGGCATGAGCTTGACAACCGTCAGATTGCATCTCAAGACAGTGCTGTCACATGCCATGCCTCATTGTCATTGCATTATGTTGGGACCCCGACCGTGACCCTCTAGGACCTAGCTCCAGGTGAGTGTGAGATGAGACTCACTCAGTGTCAGACAGATAACACTACACGATACGAGCGCATTCACAACATTCACAATGTCACTTGAGTTGCGTTCCCAGCTTCTTAGGGTTGCGTGCCCAGCTTAGGCTTAGGCCCGAACTCAGACTCTGGAGCTTTTGATTTTGGACAATTTTGGTCGCCATGGCAACTTCTGCCACTAACACGGCCGCGTCCTCGTCCTCGCCAACTCCGGTGCAAGCGGCGATGGCGCGTGTCAAGGAAGCGGTCCTGAACATGAATCTTCTTATTATGGCCTGGGGCGTCGAGCATTACTACGAGACCCACAACGGCGGCTAAGATGCAGTATTGTAAATATTAAATTAGCAATCACACTGGGTTCAAGATACAGCACATGACATAACAATCTGAGGTGGCTGGTTGGGTCGCGACGGCATGACCCGACAACTGAAACTCTGGTTTCCACAACATGTTCACATCTCCGTGGACGTGCGCTCGGCGGATTTGTGGCCCAGGGATGACCACCGTTCCTTGCTTTGAGCTTTAACTTCGGAGTCCGGTTTAGGATTCGGGGTTTATTGTGGGGTTCCTTGTTCTCGCCCTCGCTTCATCTCAGGCGACGGGGACGAGCCCAGTGACATGCTGGCCACAAACTGCGGGCGAAAGAGCCTCCGATTCGTGATGTCGGAGATCGTCGCCCTCGCCCTGTGGAAGTCCCCGTCCTCGAGGGTTCTTTTCCAGATAGTCTGCAACTTGCCTTTTCTTAGTGGAAACCCTAAATTTCAGTCCTAAACCATGAATCTAAGAACCCTAATCCCTAAACAATGACAACTTAGGTTCCAAAGGGAAGCACAGGAGTGCGAGCCTCGCCCTCGCAGTCGCTGTTTTTTTTCAGGCATCGCTCTACTTGCCGTCAAGGCAAGGGCTTTTCAGTCGCCCTTTCGTCCCTGACCTATTGAGCCCTGGCCCTGACGTGACGTACGGCCTGGCAGAGAAGGCCCTGATCGAGGTGCTGGAGAACATGGCGGGTTTCTTTCCGTCCTCGACGCCTTCGCCATCCGCTGGACCTTCTCCGGGCAATACCGCCCACGACCTCGCGACCCGCTTGCAACCAAAGTGGCAACCCTAAACCCTCAACTTTAAAACCCCACAGCTACCTTGAACTTAGGTCCGGGAGAAGGTTCTCAAGAAAGCTCCTTGGCTGGTCGAGAGCTTGGACGCGTTGGACGTTGACTCCGGCACCTGGCAAGATACTCGTTTGCAAGTGTCCTCAGTTTCCTGTTCCTCTTAGACTTGAAGCCGCATTGATTGAAACTGAGGCCGTTGCTTCTCTCCTCGCTTTTGGAGATGCCGGCACTGCGAAGCTTGCGGAGATGAATGCCATTGCGCTGGGCCCCTTGGTCTTAGTCTAAGTCAACCCTAAACCATAAACCCTAACCCTAAACTTTTTCGCCCTCGACCTCGGACTCCAAGCCCCTCATCGGAGGCCAGGTTCGCGCCTATGAGGAGTGGTCCTCGCTCTCGCGAGCTCAGCGAGACTCCTGGCTGCACTAAACGACTAAACCCTAAACCATAAACCCTAACCCTAAACTTTTTCTCCCTCGACCTCGGACTCCAAGCCCCTCATCGGAGGCCAGGTTCGCGCCTATGAGGAGTGGTCCTCGCTCTCGCGAGCTCAGCGAGACTCCTGGCTGCACTAAACGACTAA